TAACCTGCCTGCGGTGAAACAGCTCCCATTGGCTGCACCAAAAGTGGAAAACACCACAAATAAAGGCACAATCCATGATAATGGGTACAGCACTCTGTCACCGAAGGTCTGTGAAGTAACCAATGATTTAGTAAAATACAACTCAAGGAACATGTTACATAAAGTATATTAACTGAAGACTTAAAATAAACTGACTTTAAATTTAATTCTCAAAAACCACTGACCAATGAATTTCCACGATGACATATCCAATTTTTTATGATTAGTGTAAGGGTTTTAAACAATATGATTTTAGAAACTGTGCTTGCAAAAAGCAATTATTTGGCTTTTTGCAAATTATAGAACTAAGCATAGCTAGGAAAATATATATATTTTTTGTCTAGGTCTGGAAATCACAGACTTCAAATTCCTTGATATTTTGAGGTTTTCCTTGGTTGTAGGAACTAGTGATGTTTGCTTCTGAAACACTGCTTTGTGAAGCTTCGAAACCTTTGTGAATCATTTGTTTTGAACCAGTGATTTGGGGCGAATATCAAAATGCCAGTCATGAGGCGGTTTCAAAATATTTCGAAATTTCAATGGTGCCCTGCTAAGGGTCCATGAAACTGTGTCTGTATGGTTTTGACCTGATCCCAGATCAATTTCATACATTTGTAGACATTTGTATGACACATTTGTATAATAAAAGGGAAACGTTATAGTTATTAGTCTCTTATTGGCCTGATTGACCAAGCTCTGCATAAACAAAACAAGTCCTACAAATGAATAAAGTAACACATATTATACAGACACATCATATTCAATGGCATTAGATGATTTGTTAATTATTTTGTATTTTATTATTATTTTGTTCGTAAAAGGTTTTTATGCATGTTTGATCCAACTTTTCAGTGCATTTACAACGTTCTGACCAGCAGGTGTCCCCAGCGTGTGGCATTTTGAGCATTTCTAAATACCGTATTGTCCCGAATATAAGACGACCCCCCTTTTTGCAGATGTACCTTTTGGAAAAAGGCTTTTAAAAAGCCACATCTTGTTTTTTT